TGCAGTTCTCGTCACGTCGGTCCGCTGAGACGGCGTCGTCAAGCAGATCTTCACGATGAAGACCCAATTGAGGCTCGGGGGGATGTGGGAGAGCGTGCCGGGGGGGCGAGAAGGACGCCAGAGGAAGAGCCAATAAGGCTGAGCGATATGATGAGCTGCGGCGGGCAGCATCACGAGGAAAGGTCGGAGACGCCAGCCACAGCCAAATGGGCACGGACGAGGACCGGACGAGGACCAACATGACCCCCAGAGGGAGGGGAAGCCGATGGCATCCTCAGCCAAAAGAAAACAAGGCTGAGGATGCCTCGAGATCTGCCTCTGAGGCGGACATTTGCGAGAATAAAGAAGGCCGGAGGAAGAGTGTTGCCCATCAACCGGCCTTCCCCTCCTCCCGAAGTGGGAGGGGGAGGCAACTGCTTAAGGGTACTGTGAAACGGAGAGTGGGCAACCTTCCTACTCTGAAGCCGAACAGACGGAACCACAAGATGGCGGACGACGCGCAGCAGCCAGATGAGGAGTTCTACGTCCGCTACTAGTAAGTGATCTCAGAACCAAGCACAGCGGCACGTGCTGCACGAGCCAAGTATGACATCACGCTTCGGTGTGTGTGTGTGTGTGTGTGTGTGTGTTGTGTGTCCACCAGCGTGGGCCACAAGGGCAAGTTCGGTCACGAGTTTCTGGAGTTTGAGTTCCGTTCGGAGGGCAGGCTGCGCTACGCCAACAACAGCAACTACAAGAACGACACCATGATCAGAAAGGAAGGTACGCTACGCAGATATATGGCCTCCCTCCCTCGTACGACCGACAGGCATACCGGCGGCGCGGCGGGAGGGCATCACTGACTGGTTGATGTGCTGCTTGGTCGATGTGTGTCTCCCAGCGTATGTGTCTCAATCGGTCATCAATTGCCTCAAGAAGATCATAGAGGACTCTGAGATCGTCAAGTGAGCCGGATGGATGGACACACGGAGGCCCTGCAGGCTGTGCTGTGGCCATCCCGTATCAATGTGAGTCGGTTCGTGTTTGTGTATCCAGGGAGGACGACTGCTACTGGCCTGCACCTGACCGTGTCGGCCGTCAGGAGCTGGAGGTGGTCCAGGGCAACCACCACATCTCATTCACAGTCAGCACACACAACACGCGCATTCATACTCCTCGGTCGGTCGCCACGGCTTACCATCTCCTCTGTGTTGATGTGTTTGTTGTGGATGGTTCCCTCACTGTCAGACGTCGAAGATCGGTTCGCTGGCGGACGTGCAGGCGAGCAAGGACCCCGACGGCCTGAGGGTGTTCTACTACCTCGTGCAGGACCTCAAGTGCTTCGTCTTCTCCCTCATCGGACTCCACTTCAGGGTAAGGTTGCAACACCACACCACTACACACACACATCAAGCGCCACACACGTGGCTGAGTGTGTTGGTGTGGTGGTTCGAATGATGCGTGCAGATCAAGCCCGTGTGAGTCCGTTGCTGCCCCCCTGCCCCATCCACCCATTCCCCCGTCCCTCGCTCAGCCTGTTGTGTCGATGAGGACTGCTGCCTACCTACATGCCTACCTGCCTACCGACTGCTGCCTGATACTGTTGCTGAGTGCATGCTTTCATGCGTGACGGATTTTAATGCCATGCAGCCCTGCTGCGTACCAGTCTAGCTAGCTACATGGGTGCATCTGGCTGCTGACCCTTGGAACATACAGACAGACGGGGCCAGCATGTGTGTGTGTGGACACTCGAACAATGAACGATTCATGCCATGCCTTCGATTGATGCCTTCCACACCCATCCATCCTTTCACCGAACGCCAGCCAGCACTGTCAGTGTGCATCCCTCCATACGCTTGCTCGCGCACACACATCAGACGTCACTTTGTCCCGCACTCATCGACCACGCTTCATTCACAGACACCGAAAAAGGCTCACTCGAGTGCCCATGCGATCTTCCAATCAGCGCACAGCCGCTGTGCCCGCCGCTGTGCAGTCGCTCATCCCTTCTTGGGATTGACGAACGCCTGCACTGTCCCGCCCATGGCCTTTGGCGCCTCGCTCGTGCCTGGGAACAAACAAACGAACGAACAGGTCGACACACATACAGTGGCGGCTGCAGGTCGTGGGCGTTGATATGCTTCGTGCGTACCTGCGTCTGCTAGCAGCTTGGCGAGCCTGTCGAAGACCTGCTGCGCCAGCTCGATGTTGGCCCGCTCGCGGCCTCTCAGCCGCATCGTCACCTTCACCTGATGCCCACCGAACAGACAGACGATGGCCAAGGGCTCGATCAGCGAGTGCATGGGTGTCTGCTCACCCTGTTTTTGGCCTCAAGCCACTTCTTGGCGTTGTTGGCCTTGACGCCCAGGTCGTGGTCAGATATCCTGACACACCAAACAGCAACCTTTCGTCGCTTCAGGTGCTTTTCTGTGACACTGACTGCATTGACCAACCTACCGACCTGGCGGATATTTTGAGCTCTTTGACCTCGGAGGCCTTGCTGGCCTGCCTCTTCTTGAGTTTCTCCTGCTTCTCCTGCTGGTACTTCCACTTGGCGTACTCGATGATGCGACACACAGGCGGGTCGCTGTTGGGAGATATCTCAACCAAGTCCATCCCCAGATCGTCGGCCTGATCCAACGCCTGTCAGATGGATGGACGGAAGAAGAAATGATTGATGGCAGGAAGCCGTCTTCGAGTGTGTGTGTGCTCACGTCGTCTATGTCGACGATGCCGACCATGTCGCCCTTCTCGTCAATCAGACGCACCTGGGCGGCAGTGATCTCCTCGTTGATGCTGAACCAGAGGCAACAGACACACTCATGCATGACGCTGACTGTTTTGTTACCACTGCATGCCCTCACCCACCTGACACTCTTGTCCTGCCGCTGCATCGTCCGTCGCTGCGCCCTCCTCTGCTCCTCCTCAATCGCCAGCGGCACCCTCCTGCCCATCTGCAGTACCGTCACACCGGCCCTCATGCCATTGTGTGGCCTCAGATCTGGGACACCATCCCTCCGCCGCGGCAAGGACGGTGCTAAAGACGACCGAGATGGGAGGCGAAAGGCAGACGAGAGGCCCAGCAGGCTCAGCAGGGCTACAACAGAGTGCATCCACCAAGACGCGGCTTTGCTGCATCTTGGTTCTGGAGAAGAAACCGGAGTTGCCTGGTCACTGCGGACTTCTGATGGCATGCAAGGACGGCAGACCACCCCGCGCGGCATTTTCTTCTGAAAGCGAGCTCAGCCGAGAAAACCCTGGACCCCAGAACCCTAGCGATAAACCCTGATGCTTTTGTTCCCATCTATTCTGTCCCTTTCAGCCCTTTCCAGCAGCGCATTCGTGCAGCTACGGCAGCAAACAGGAACCTTGGGACGCTTTAAGGCCAGGCGAGTTTCTCCACTCATGACATCTCGCCCGCTGGAGCTGTGGCTGGACGCACGAGCTGACAAACAAATCGGCAAGCAAAGCTATCCATTCAACAGAGTGCTGTACGCTGGGCACACAGCCATCCCTGAGTTGAGAGATGAGGACCTCATGGAGATGGATGGAGTGCTGAGGAAGGGAATCAATGAGGTGGGCAAGGTGGTCAAGATCATTCAGCCCGAGGACCAGAACGAGGGCAAGAAGCTCATTGGATCTGTGGAATGGATTGTGATTGACTGCGACGGTACGACTGGACACAAAGCGCACATGCGGGCGCGCACAGGAGCAAAACACACATGGGTGACTTTGTGTGCGTGTAGATTGGGTGCAGATCCCTGGCGAGAACATGGTGGCGGCAAGCCACCAGACGCCCACGCGGATCTGTGCCGTCGTCACGGACGCCTCGCAGATACAGGGGCTGGCCTTCTCACTGCAGGTGGGTCAGCCGCTCATCGGGGTGTGTTTAGGCACATGTCTTTTCATGGGCTGTTTGCTTTGCACATGTATACTGTAGTTGGGTGTGGATGCGCTGCTGCTGCCGCCAGACCAGGCCATGTGGAAGGCCGCTTTGGAGGCGCGCACCACGAGGGGCCAGGGCACCCAGCCCACCAACGCAGAGGCATCTCAGCCCTCTGCAAAGGTATTGGACGAGGCGTGCATGCTGATGGGGAATGGTTTGATTCATTGTTTTCATTCACTCAGGGGGTCGCCAGTGCGCACAGCGGGCTTCGGTTTGCTCGTGTGGTGTCTGTGAGTGATGGAGGTGTCGGGGATCGTGTCTGCCTGGACCTCATCCAGAACATGCGGCACGGCGAGGGCGCTCTGGTAGGCTACGTACTTGGGCTCTCACCACCCACTACCACCAGAGGGCCATCTTAAGCTTATGTCCGTCTGCGTGCAGGTGGGCTCCAGTGCAATGAGGCTGGCCTTCGTGCATGCTGAGACCATCCCTGCGGGGTTCGTGCCGGCCCGACCGTTTCGCATCAATGCCGGCCCCGTGCACGCCTACTGCCTGATGGGCGACGGCAAATCCACCAAGTACCTGTCTGAAATACAGGTGGGCGGGGCGGCTGTGAGTGACGTCAGCCAGCAACAAGGACGGCCGTGTGTGCTGCTGCATGGTGTGTGCATGAGTGTGTGTCAGGCCGGCGATGAGATAGCGGTGGTCAGTCTGCCTGCAGGGGCCGACGGGAGTGTCACGTCGCGTGCAGTGTCGGTCGGAAGATGCAAAGTCGAGCGGCGGCCGGTGCTCAAGGTCATCTTCCAGGTGACTGCCTGCCTGCCTGCCTGCCTGCGTACCCAGGGCAAGCACTTCAGTGACCTGCTTTGCTGTCATTCTGTGCGTGCATGGCCGTGTCAGATTGAATCAGCAGATGGCACGGCAGCCCCATCAGCCGGCAACGTGAGACGAGAAACGACACGATGGAGATCCATTTGTGACTCCTCCATGTGTTCCCTCTGTTGTCCTCCTTCTCTGCAGGTGTTTCTGCAGCAGGCCGAGACCGTGAGGCTCCTGAAAAGGGACGAGGGCACTGAGAGGCCCTCGGGCGAGCACGCCTTCCTGCTTCCTGGTGGAGGTGAGGGTGAGTCGGTGTGTTGGGTGGTGCCGGTCTCCATCACAAGCCTCAAAGCAGGTAGCTGCAGACAGCATGGTCGGTGCTCCAGTCGATGTGTGTATGTGCTCTTCCAGGCGACAGCATATTGGTTCGAGGACAGTCAGTGGGGACGCATCTGGGGCAGCCCATCGATGCCAAAGTGGTCGAGATTTAGCGTGTCTCATTCATCAGATTCCGTATCATTCATGCCTTCCCTGTTTTGTTCCAAAAATCGATGGAGGGCAATGCAGAACAGACAGATGCCTGACTGTGTGCCTGCCCTTGCTCTTGCTCTGTCTGCATTGCCTTCCTTGGATCTTGCTGCCTGGGGGAAAGCAATTTGTGTGAGTGTGTGGATGGACAAACAAATGGTCGGACGGATGGGTGGATGCGACGGGCTCACTGACTGACTAGCTGATCGGTGCTGCTTTGCATGTGACTGTGTGCGTGTACAAAATAATCTGCTTGTATGCTTCCATCTGAGTGAGAGACAGGCCGACACACAAGGCAGGCAGCACGGACAGCGATTGTCATCTGTAATTACAATGAGATATGATGCACACACATATCCGTCTCGATCCGACGCATGAATCACGCACCCGTGCCACTGTCCCCCTCTATCCCTTCCCTCCCTCATGCCAGCTTGTATGCCTCCAGCTCATCAATGTCGAAGTGCCATCCCTTCACTGACACAGGCAGGAGCACTCGGTCATCGTCATCACTGTAGTCGCTGAGCCTGACATCCGGCCACTCCCACTGGCGCCACTCGTCGGGCTGCTCGTCCTCCAGCATGGCTCCTTGGCACCGCTGCATGGTCTCGTCGCTGGCTGCTGCTGGGGCGCCGATCTGGGCGGCCTGACGGATACCGAAGCTGAAGCATGCCGTGTGGAGGACGGCCGTCAGCTCAGACTCAGCCGATGAGAAATCGATGAACTCGGTGACTCTCTCCTGCACACACGGAGAGAGAGACCATTGGCTACCATGACTCCCTTGCTCATTCAGGTGGGTACCCACCTGTGTGCCCGCGATGCAGATGATGTCGTGCTGGCCGATGTAGCCCACGTGTGGGTGGCTGTCTGTCCCCTGCAGCTTGAAGCCGAAGGCTCTCGTGTCGGGGCGGCTCTTGGCCGTGCCGGTGACCTCGATGGGCCCCTCGATGATGACGGCGAAGAGCTCATTGCTGCCGGCCACCTTGGAGATGAGCAGCAGGGGGGAGTGGCCCTTGACGGCATCGAAGAAATCCAACCACCTCCAACCATTCACAGTCGCCCTGACACGACACACACACGCATCAAGACACAGAGGCATGGTGAGAGAGTGCCGGCATGCTCACATCTGTCTGGCCTGCCCTTCTCACTTGTATATGCGCATGACCGGGTCGCCCACACACGACGGGATCTGTGCCGGTGCGGGCAGCCAACCGTCACACCACTGCCGCATCTTGAGCAGGTGCTCGGTGGTCAGCAGGCCGTCAGCCGGTCCCAAATGGCGATCGCTATCCAAACCGTACCTGACACACACAACACACACACCCACGGAGAGAGAGAGAGAGAGAGAGAGCAGCCGTCGGGTCATTGTGTGGTGAGCACTCTTTTCGCTGTTACATGGTGAGTGCGTGTCGGTATTTGTTGATGGCCAGATCACCCATCGCCCCCCGCACGTCAGCCGCTGTGATGGTTGCCCCCTTCATGTGGGCACGAGATACGACATCGACAATGCGCCGGACATGCTCGATGGGCGCACGAACGGTAGGGCCGTACCTGACACGACAGACAGACAGACAGACAGACAGGGGATACAAGCGAGCTCTCAAAAGGCCCAAGTCTGTGCAGGCGCACCTGATGAATCTGTTGGCAAAGGTAGAGTCGTCGCCCAGCGATTTCGCTACACCTATCGTCACCGTCACCGTGGATCCCGACACACTCGCTGACACCAACTGAAGAGGGCAACCACAACCACAATATGCAGTCAGTGCATCTCCTCTGATCCCCTTCCCTCACTGTGTCCAGCTCACCGTATCGTCCTCCACATTGCCCGTCTTGAGTAGTGGCTTGATGGCATCCAGCCGCTGCTCATGTGCGGCCTTCTCCTCCAGCGCCTTCTTCGTCAGCCTGTGCAGCTCCGCCGTCAGCCTCAGCTGAGCCGCGGCGGGCTGCCCGGCATCCTGCTGCTGGTCCGTGGCTGGGTCGGCAGCGGGGAGGAAGGCGTCGCCACCGGGCCGCCGCTTGTGTGAGGGGTCCCACAACAGCAGCTCAACCCAGTACCTGACGACACACATCATCGGCTGCATTGGACCGTCACGTGTGTGTGGTGGGCCTGGTGCTCACGTGAATGGCGTGTCGTGTTGCTTGGCCGGGGGGATTGCAATGTTGTCCACCTGCTCCTCCTCATACATAATCAGATTCATCACCAGCCTGCATCCCGCCCAACACACACGCACACACACAACACACACGTGTGTGTGAGAGAGATGACATGATGAATGAATCCATCACTGAGCCCTCCTGACTTGACCAGGTGAATGCAGGTGGCCAGATCGGCAAAAAATGCGATCGTTCTCGTCATGGATAAACGCAGCGTCAAATTTGCCACCGAAGAGGGTGGCGAGCACCGAGTTCTTGACCGCACAGAGAGTCGATCGCTGGACCCGCACCTGCTCGCCGCTCACATTCAACTCCAACACATCCTTCATCAACTCTTCCTGCACACTACAACACACACAAACACACGCGCGATGAATGCATGTCCTCGACTGCCTTTCCGCTTTCTGGTCCATCTCGCTCACCATTGGTTTGTTTGGCGCTGCAGCAGACCCGCCCAAGGCTCTTTGGCGCTCCTCCAGCTCCTCCAGCATGGCTTGCAGCGCGTCGGTGACGCTTCGGCTGTACTGGATGGACTGATGCAGCGCGCCGAGGGAGGCGCTCTCACCAACAGCGCCGCCATCAGGACACCTGCGTTTCTCGCCAACTGCTGCAGCAGCAGCTGATGCAGCCATCTATCGCAGGAGAAATCACAATGCCCTACAGTGACAATGCCAATGCATTCATCGCATTTCTCCTGAACGCTCCGCTCAAACTGTTTCACGCTCGGATTTGTTTCACCCTGTGAGCTCGCCCTTCTGCTTCTCTTCTTTTCCGCCGTTCTCCCCTCTTTCATGCTGCCGTCAGCTGCCTGGACGTCCTGATCTGCCTGGACGTCGAAGTTCGACGCCATGCCGCCCCTCCGCATTTTCTCTCTTTCGCTGTCAGGGCAGCGTGAACACCCCAGCACAGCTGCAAGGTGGCAGGTGTGCATGTGCACGGCAGAGAGCATGCACACAAGGTGGCAGGTGTGCATGTGACCGGATTCTGTGCTGCTTAGGTGGTGCTGATCAGCGTCGAGGGTGTTGTCAAAGGAGCACAGCAGCGGCACGGCGGCAGCGGGCAATGAGACCGCCACACGACGTCAGATGGCAAGGTGAGACACGGCATGCAGGACAGGTGTGTGAGTGTCCCGCTTTCACTTTCACGTGCATGTGCATGTGTGCGTTTTCAGATAACTGACTGGGTGCTACTCGTCCACAACCACAACGACACACATGCAAGGTACACACGACACACAGCCACAATGCAACACAGGACAATCCCATCCTGCCTCTCTTTCACCCTCATGAAGGTTCGTCCGGACGAGGCAAGTAGGTCGCATACCAAAGGACAGTGGTGCTGTGCTGCCGGAGTTGGCAGGTACGTACGTCAGGAAGCCAGATAGATGCACTCACTGGGCGTGGACGTGTTGTGTGGCTGCATGTGTTGTGTGCGTCTGTCTCTTCAGGCAGGTGTTGTAGGCGAGCCCTGGGGACCACCCTGCCATCCACTGAGATCTCCCTCGTCCACCCACTCACCCAAGGATCTTCTTCTCTGTCTAGCTAGAGTGAGTGTTGTGGTTTTTGCGTACTTACTGGTGCATGGCATGGTGGGGCTGTCCTGTCGGGGAGTGGCTGCCTGTCGCGTGTTTATACGAATTCTTTCGGCTGTTGTGCTTTCCCTCCGCTCCGCTGTGTTGGCCGTCCGGGCGTCTGCTGCGGTGCTGGCGGAACAGTCCACAGGGTCTCGACGGCAATGCAGTATGTGCCGGTCAGGGTACTGCAGCGGAGGGAAGAGAGAGACGAGTGCTGGACTGTAGGCTACTGCACATTCCTGTCGTCATCTGACGGGCGGGCACTGCACAGAGAGCGATGCTTCATTGAGTTGGGTTGGGTTGACATCCGATTTTTGTGGTGTGACTTCGTTGCCCACAGCTGAGTCCTATCGGTGAGATGGCGTCTTCGTCATGAGTGGTGCATTTTGCTTGGGTTCTGTATGCCTTGTGCTGTGCGTGACCCCCTCGTGCCCTCATGTACGGTCTCTGCGAAGTGCGTCTCATTGCTGTGCGGGCAAACGCATAGCGATGACACGTGCTGTGCGGCGGCCTGACATGGGGCACGAGGGGGGCACCGTACCACGGCAAACAGTGAACACCCCACCTCTATCCGTGAGTCTTCGCTTCACGTGGCAGAGGATGGGTGGATGCGTGTGTGAGCGCCAGGGCAGAAAAGCCGAGGGGTGTCTTTTCTGCCTCTCTCGAGTGGTGTGGTGTGGTTTATGTGTGTTTGCTGGTGCCTGTTGTGCCTGTCCGTCATTGTATGGTGTCTCCTGCGCTGTCCCTCCGCTGTGTTGGCCTGGCGGGCGCGTGCTGCAGTGCTGACGGGACATCACACACGGTCTCGACGGCAATCTTGCACGTGGCTGACAGGCCAATGCAGCGGAGGGAAGCGAGAGACGAGTGTCATTACGTCACTGCCTTCGCTTTCCACAGATGAGTGCCGCACCGCAGGCTAAGGCTATTCTGTTCGCTGGCTATTCTGTCTTCATCATCACTGGTACATTATCTAGCTTGAGTCGCGTGTGTATGCTGCTGTGCGTGACCCCTCGTGCCCTTATGTGGGATAGCTGGGGGCGAACGTCTCATTGCTGTGCGGGCAAACGCGCTGCAATGACACGTGCTCTCCAGCGGCCTGACATGGGGCGTGAGGACGGCAAAACGCCGCCTCGCTTCAAGTCAGACGTGGGCGCCAGGGCAGAAACGCCGAGGGTGTGGGTGTCTTTTCTGTCTCTGCAGAGTGGTGTGGTCGGTGTGGTTTATGTGTGTCTGCTGGTGCCTGTCGTGTGTCTGGCGGTCATTGTATGCTGTCTGTCTGTCTGTCTGTTGTGCTGTCCCTCCGCTGTGTTGGCCTGGCGGGCGCGTGCTGCAGTGCTGACGGGACACCATACACCGTCTCGACGGCAATGCTTCACACGGCTGTCAGGCCAATGCAGCGGAGGGAAGCGAGAGACGAGTGCTGGAAGCCAGCTCATGATCAGCGCTTTCTCGAGAGCAGTCAGTGGCTGCTCCTCTATGGTGTGGCCACACGCATCAGTCCGTCCATGTGGGTGGGGGGGGTTTGGCGGTTCGTTGGCATGGTTGTCGGACTGTTTTCCGCGTGTGTGTGGTGTTGATGGGATGCGACCACTTTTGTAGTCATGTCTGGGTGGCCGGCTGAGTCGACAGAACCAGTCACCCACTCCATCAGGGAGGGATTTCACACACTTGTGGATTGGTGTGCTGTTGACTGGGTGGGGTGGGTGCATCAATCAGTGGTGCTAGGCTGTACTGTGTATCCTTTGTGGTGTGCGTGATCCACATCATGCCCCCATGTCAGGCCTGGTTGGAACGCTTCATCGCTGTGCAGTCATTTGCACGGCTGTGACACGTGCCCGTCAGGGAAAGGACATGGGGCATGAGAATGGCACCGTACCACGGCCGACATGAGCGGCAAACAGTGGCCCGGCCTCTATTCGTCACTGTCGTGGGTTTTGCATCACAAAAGGTTCCGTTCATCACAGACGAGTTTTGTAGTGATGGTTTGTGTGCTACGGTGTACTGCTGCGTGTACGTTCCTGCACTGCCTGAGATCGGACGGATCAGCTCAGTGTCTCTGTCTCTGTCTCTGGCGCATTCGAGCGCCTCCAGTCTGTCTGAGCACGTGGACCCAGCCGATCTACGATCGTTGTTTACAGCAATGCCTGTCGCCTGATAGTCGAGCGACTAGATGTGACAGACATACACAGATGTCCTGCTTGCTCTGTGCCTCACACGCTGTTTTGTTGGCCGCCGGCACGTAACGCGCCCATCTTGCTCATCCATCCTGACGCAAGGGAAGAACGGACATTGTGGGAGTGACGGGCTCAGACAGAATCGCTGGTGTTGGGTATATAATGAGTGAAGACTGGATGCTGTGGCTGAATGGCATGGCTGGCAGTATGTGCCGGCACAGTGAGCTGTGGGTTGTGAGGAGGAAGACCAACTTGTGACGAATGAAGCCATTCTGTCGATGTGTCTCCCTCCTCTGGCTCACAGCTAACGACGACAAAGGCCTAACTAACGACACCGCTCTCTGCATAACCACCCCCGCCCGCCTAGGCCTTGCTTGCCGACGCGACACCCTACCAGCCCACTCCAAACGCACAAGCATACTCACACTCACATCAGTTCAAGTGTGAGGTGGAAGGCGGCCTCGAGAGAGCTCTACAGTCATTCAAATGCGGTACTGCAGAGCTCTTCGAATCCACCATCCAGGACACACTCGACCGACGTCGTGCACTGCTCTGCACACATCACCATGTATCATCCCTCATTGACACCTGCACACATCACACCCATGCCATGCCATGCCACCATGGATGAGAGAACAAGCGCTGACATCGGCGCCCTCTCCCCTCCCCAGCTCAGCCAGCTTACGTTGCATGAGGAACTGCAGCTTGGCCACGATCTCCGCGCACTGCGTGGCTGTATCTGCTTCGTACTCGACCTCCAGCTGTCGATCGGCCACCTTGCCGCGGCCACCCTGATCGCGGCCCTCGCCCCAGCCCCACGACGTCTTGCGGGACACGCCATCAGCCGACTCAGGCGACACGGCCCTCTGATGCACACACACGTACATCAAACAAAGAGGGGGCATTGTACAATGGTGTCATCTTGGGTGTGTGTGTGCGGCTTTCTGTGACCTTTCTGTAAGTGATAGCGAAAGCGCGTGGTTTGTCTGGTATGCACTCAGCGGTGACGATGTCGCTGATGTGCCAATCGACCAGCGACGTCTCGGCCGCCGACCCCTCCGCTGCTGTCAGTGCTGCGGCAGCCGCAGGCACGCTCTCTCCCCTCCGATTAGCTATGCGCCGAAACTGGATGATGGAACAGCAAAGCACCCACACAAAGATAATGAACAACGTCCCCTGTCTGTGTGCCTCGTTTACTCACTGACCAGTGGCCCCCAGAATCCTCCCCCTCTCCATCCAGCGCTTCGCTGAGGTGCGGGTGGCGGTGTGGTGGGCGGATGTGCCATGGCGAAGGGGTCTGCCGTGGTGGCGTCGGCCTGTGCGGGCGGCAGAGGGGAGTGGGCGCCGGATTGCGGTGGCGGCGGTGGGGGTGCGAAGGGTAATGCGGGCGAGGGCAGGAGGGGGCTGTTGGTGTTGGAGGGCGTCTGGGTGGTCGACATGACGAGGGGCGTCACCTTGTGATAAACACGGTTGCGGTCCACAACAAATACCTACACAAAAGGAGAGAGGATGGTCCCATCGTCTGCCTGTCCGTCTGTCTGTCTGTCTGTCTGTTGCTTACACATGGTCTTGGCTTGGCTGCCGGTGCGGTGGCCGGCGTGGTGGGTCCGTTTGGCGGCGACAGCTGCAGCGACGGTGGGGGTGAGGTGCTGCGGACAGTGACATGCAGGTGGTACTCCGACGCGATGGAGGCCGTGTACTCATTGAACAGAAACATCGACAACGGAGGCCTGCACACACACACAGAGGTCAAACATGTGCCTTGCATCCCTCCGGGTGATCCGAGTGATCTGTGTGGGTTAGTGTACTTACCTGACTTCCTTCCCAGCCAACTCAGCCTGAGCAGTGGACCTCTCTGTGCGGCGCGGTGCGGCCGACGACAGACATACATACACGCCAGCCACAGCACAGTGAGTGACGACACGGCACCTGTCTGTCTCTCGCTCTGTCTCTGGCCTGCCTACGTTGTGGGCTGTCCTTCCTCACGAGCCGCAAGCTCCTGTCCTGCTGCGGGATGTCCTTGACCTGCCACCCCATCTGCAGACGCTGCGGGCGACCCATCACAACTCGCTGACACCACACACACCAAAGCACACCACAACAGCATGGCAGACCCATTCATCCATGCGAGCATCGACAGCTGCAAACCTCAAAGGCCATAGTGGCGGGTGTGAATGCCTCGTCCCTCTGCCGTGCCACGAGACTGAGCAGGTCGAACAGCCGCGACTCCTCGCTGATCTGCACCACTGTTCGGGGCTGCTGGTCTGCGGTTGGGGCGTCCGACCCGACGGCTGGCGTCTCTGCCGGAGGACCGATCACTGTCAACACCTGACAAACAAGTAGAGCAGACCGAGAAGGCTCTCTGTGTGTGTCTCTCCGACCGACCCACCCGTGTTTTGGAGCCGATGCTGAGGACGTCCGAGGCGCACCGGATCATGCCGCCCCCCTTGGCGGCCGCCGCCTCCTCCTCCCCCTCCCCATGTGGAATTGTTGCCCTCTGCCGCCGACCCCTGCCGCCCACCTGCTGGCCCGGTGTGGGCGAGCTGCTCTCCGCACCCTCCATCTCATCGCTGCTCGTCCGCACCTTGGGGTGGTACATGACGCTCAGACTGCCCCCTTGGCTCTGGATCCGGCGGTGACCCAGCAGGCCTTTGCCGTCACCACCAACCCAGGATTGCACACGGGGCGGCGGGGGGATGGGCGCCGGAGGTTGCGTCTGCGGCAGGTGTCTGCTGGCTGGCGTGGAGGGGCCGGGGGGTGGGGTGCCCAGCAGGAGATTGGGGTTGGACGCGAAGGTCACGCTGGCGTTTTTGGATTGACGGGGTCTCGGTTGGGCGGCGCCTGTGCTGGTGGGGGACGTGTCGGGCGACCGCGCTGACATGGCTCGACTGGACTGACGGTGACGCGGAAGACTCGCAGGTGTCGGGGCCTGACAACAGGCAGGCAGGCAGGCAGGCAGGTGTGTTGCGCCGTGTGTCCCCCTCTCTATGTTATGTATGTTTGTGTGATGGATGGCTGGCCACTGACCTCGAAAACAGGCTGGCTGATTGCTTTCTTCATGAGCTTCTCGTCGGACGACTTCCGGGCCCGCGCCTCTATCTCCAGCTCCGACACGCGCCGTGGCGACGCCATGACACTGGGAGGCGTCCTGGGTCCCGCCCAGCCCTTGACGCCACCCACGCCCCCGACCATGGTCGGCCACTCTTCCTTCTGCTTCTCCTTGTCCTTCTCCTTCTCCTCCTTCCGCGCCTCCTTCTCGCTCCCCGTCGAGGATTTCCTCTCTGCCTCTTCCTCCTCCTCCTGGATGGCCGCCTCGGTCGGCAGGAAGCCCCCCGACCCTGCACGCGATCCGCGCCTTGTCAGGGGGAAAAGGGTAGATGGGGGCGGCCCGATGGGCTCGGCCTCCATTGCTTCAGAGCCCCTGGCTGACGGGCTGCCGTCGTGCGGGCGAGAGGGGGCGGCTGGCCGTCGGAGGACGGTGAATGAAGGCGCGTTGTCGCTGGCGATGGCCCAGCGTGGCTGTGACGGCTGCTGGTTGTAGAACATGGGGGCCTTCTCCATCCTCTCGAGGTCAGAGTCGGCTTCGTCGCTCTCGAGGGGGCTCTGCCGGATCTCCACTGTCTCGCCCTGCCGGCCCAGCCGCTGGTCGAACGAGTGGCTCCTGGGGAAATCCACCGATATCGACCTGCTGTCCTCTGACGTCCCCGGGTCGGCTTCGTCCTGCGGGCCGCCGCTCCGGGGGTGGGACCCGACGGCCGGCGTGAAGGTGTCGGCGGAGTCGAAACGGTCCCGACGGAAGTCGGCGAAAGGATCCTCTCCCCCCTGAGAAGTGGATGCGTGGATGGTTTATCTGGAGGGGGGCGTGTCAGTGTCTAGTGTGCTTCGTTGTGATCGACCTGGTCAGAGATGTCGCCCAGTGCACCTTCGTCGAGGTCGCCGAGTGAGGTGCCTCTCGGCGTCATGGCCGACCTGTCGCCCTCTGCAGCACCAGCTGCCTCACAGAGACAGATCTCGGTCATGTTGAACTTGCCCACCTCCCTGCACACACCACACACACAACACCAACACCACACATTGTGCCATGAGATGATGGTTCAACAGACCTTCCGCTTTCGAGCGGTGGCAGGTCGTAGTCCGGCCCCTCTTCGTCTTCATCGTACATGCGCAGCTCGTACGCAGCCGGGTGACGGTACCTGCACACACACAACAGGGAGGGGCACCAGTGAGTGACCCAGACAGTCACCTGGCAGGCCAGGCAGAAAGCCGTCGTGCTGTCGTGTCGTGTATGTTGCCTCAGTGCGCCCGCCGACCTCAGTTGCCTCTCTCGCCCGAATCGGCTGACCACTCGGGAGAGGAGGTCACCTAGTGTGAGGGACGCCGACACCGACAGCTTCACGGACGTGCTGCCAACACCAACCACCGAAAACCATTCCTTCATTCATTCCTTCATGAGTGTGAATCCGTTCGACGGCTGTCAGCTGACTGACCTGTCTTGATGAGGCGGAAGGTGTATGGTGAGAGTGAGCTGGCGGCCCGAAGGGGCGGAGGGGCGCCGGGGCACTGCCCCCGATAGGCCCATCGCCGACTCGCAGTACTGACAGACAACACACAACGAACATCACATCGCGCACACACATTAATTTCGTTTCTGTCAGCCCAGCCCAGCCCGTCTGACTGACTGACAAGCGCCCCACCCACCGATCCACCACATTGACCAGCTGAGCTCACCTACCTTGATATTCTTCTTGAGTGCCATCGACAGAGCGCTCTCCTTGCCAAGAGACGACCTGCCGCCCTTGCCCGTCTCCACTGGCTGCCGCGGGAAGAACGGACCCTCGCCCAACGGATGGTCACCCACGTGTGTCGAGTAGCCCAGCGGCCGCAGACGGGCCGCATCGCCGCCATGATGGTGGTGGTGATGGGCGGTGTCCCTTCCCCTGAAGGGGTGGTGGTGGACGGGCGGTGTGTGCGGCAGTCTCTGCCTCATGGGCGCGTTGGGCTGCCATCGCAGGATCTGTGTGGGCGGCTTGGCGGGAAGGAGTCGCAGGTTGCGGTGAAGGTGGAAACGGGTGCGGCTGCTGTCGGCGTGGGGCGCCCACTGATCCGTCGCCACATCTGAATGAATGAGTCGAGTGAATCAACGAGAATGAATGTGTGCAGGTGGCCGATTCGTCTGTGTGTGTTGTGCGTTGTGTGTTGTGTGTTACCCACCCAGTTCGTCGAGGTGAGTGACTTCGTATTTGGGTGACATGTCGAGGAGCCTCTCCACATCCTGCGCTATGACGTCGCGGTCACAGTCGGGCACGAGATTCGTGGACCGCTCGCCGCCTCGCAGGCCATTCAGCTCGAACAGGAGCGACAACTCACTCGCCTCCGTGAAGTCCATCGCCAAACGAAGCGTGCGGCCGTTACCAAAGCACGTGAGGCATCGCGTGGGATCTAAAGAAACGTCGATTCATCCTCGAGAACCTCCTGCAAGACCTGCTGTTCCATTGCGAGCTTGAAACATCTGAGTGCCGATCGGTTCATTGCCTCGCCCAGCAGATTCTGAGCGTTCAGGTGTCATCCATGCGCACCCATACAACGCACACCATGCAGATCGTCTTGCGGGGTATTGGATGGATCCATCTGTTGCAATAAGCGACACGCACATACTCAGAGGACGTGGCATTGCATGCGACTCGACTCGGTCGCTCCAATACCAACACACGCACGACAGCTGCCGATCTGACAGCACGCAGCAGCACAAGACGACACGCCACATGAGCCGACGATGGATTGCGTGTGCGTTGGTTGGCACACTCACCCACTCACCTCAGCGTGGCGTGAGGGTGTCAACTAGGCATCATTACTCACTCATCCGCCTCCCACCGCCTCGCTCCCACCCACTGCTCTCCGTCTTGTGCTCACCGCGTCCTGCCCCTCTCTTCTGCCCGCTTCTCGTCGGGGCTTGGGTCACGCCAGTTGTCACGCTGCCACCGCCGCCCCTCATCGCCCCGGTGATGCTGCTCGCGCCACCGATCCTTCCGCCCGCCCCGCATGCCCCAATCGTTGCCGTTCTGCTGGTGAAAGCGGCCGGGTGAGGGGCTGTTGGCTTGCTCCTCGTGCCGCCAGCCCTGGCCCCCTCCTCTGTGGCCACTGCCTCCCCGATAGTAGTTGTCCCTGCCGCGCACATTCCAGTTGCTGCTGGGGTGGCGGTGGTTGTGTGTGGGTGACCCCGATGTGCCCCGCCATGAGCGGCCTCGGCTGCCGGGGGAGCCGTCGTGTGTGGCTGGGCGGGGAGGGGGCGATGGCCAGTTGTAAGATCGTCTGAAGGAGCCCTCTGCGGGGGTGGAGAGAGGGGGGAAGGGGCAGGGGGGTAGCCTGTTGCCAAACTTGTCCTTGTCCTCGACCTTCATCTGCACATCAATGAATGAGGAAGCAGGAGTACTGGATATGGATGAGGGCCTCCATCTGGAGTGGTTGATGGTCTGCCAGACAGATGTATACCTACCTCTAGGAGCTTTGCGATAGCGTCGTCGAGGTACACACGAGTCTCTGTGTGCTCATTCCGGCACGCAATGGCCACCTCCAGCCTACACACAAACAGACAGGACACACACAGATCACCAGCAATGGCGGCAGCGTCTGTCTATCTATCGTTGGTCTCTTCCTCCCTCCCTCCCTCCGTGTGCCGCACCAGAGGTCATAGTCGGGCCACCTGGCGTATACGTCAGTGAGCCAGGGCTTCTCAGTCACGCTGTGGACGAACACCGTGTCCATATCTGACCATACACACACACACACACACACACACACGCACTTCCCTGGCCTGATATGGCACCTATAGACAGAGGTGGACGAATCTCTCGGCTCTGTTGACTTACCGGCGTGCCACGAGGTCCTGCAGAAGCTGCTGTCCAGGTGGTGCCAGTTCTCGAGATGCAGCGAGAACAACTGCTCGTCGGGACCTAACACGATAGCAGCAACAGGGGCGTCTGGCGGTTCGCTGGGCGGTGTCCGTCTGTCCGTCTGTCTGTCTGTCTGTCTGTGTTGTGTGTGTGTGTCGTGTGGACTGACCACATCGGCGGTTCTCATCCCCATACTTGCCCGTGCGGCCGTCCTTGTGTGACTGCTGCTCCTCCAACACACACATGCAGTGCTCAAACGCCGCCGGGTCAGGCCTGTGTGCAGCAACACACACACAGCAGAAAGGTGCGCACGGCTGATCGATGTGTCCATTTCGATGTGTGTCGCCTTCCCTGCTCGTCTCGTCTGGCTGACCTGAGGAGCATGCAGCAGCCCCTCATGCCGTACTGACTGTCGACGGCGCTCCTCATCTGCTCGTCCGACACCAGAGAGCCCTCAGCCACCTCCCCGAGATCAGGGGCTGAACACATCCCTGACAGACACCGACAGACACAGATGGACAGACACATTGCCGAACGTGCCGATAGATTTGGCCATTTCTCTCACACAGCTCGCCCACCTGCAGGTGCCTCCACTGCAAACGCGTTGGCCACCTTGTGTGCGATGGCGTGCGTGTCCATGTGGATGTTGGCCAGCACGTCAGCGTCGAGGAACAGCACCTTGTCGTATTCGGTCAGCTGCAGCACGCGGAGCTTGGAGAAGGCGTAGTCGAGCCAGCTGGCGTAGAACTGCTCCTTCCCCATGTATGGCATCTTCACCGCCTCCGCACAAATGAGATCCACCTGCACACCGACGCACCAACGAACGAACGAACGAACGAACGAACGGAAAAGAATGGAATCTGTGACTGTCTGTCTGTCATGGGCGGCTCACCTACCTCAACGATACGATGGTAGACCGTCATGAGGGCCTGTCTGTCGTCGTCTGTGATGAGTTGATTGACCATGACCACCCGCGGGATGCTCTTGAGGCTACACATCTTGAGGCTGTAGCCCAGCGTCAGAGCTCCCGCCACATACGGACATCGCCGCCTTCTGACTGCCACATACCCTGTCGGCACCACATCACACCACACCACAATCACGGCAGCAGCAGCACAACGTAACGTAACGATGCCACTACACCCATCCATCCATCCCATCTTGGGCACACACCTTTCCTCGGTGTTTGGAAGCATATCGTCACAAATGCAATGCGTTCCTCTGCAGCTGCTGCACTCATCGGTACTCTCCTTCGAGCGATCCGGCTGCGAGCTTAAAGCGGGAAACCGATGCGCTGAAGAGGAGGACGAGAGAAGAACTGCAGCTCTCGCTGCCTGTTCCACTTTCTGCGTGCGCCTGCCTGTTTTGCTCTTTCAGTCGTGGAGTGAGATCGGCTGGCTGATCTGAGTGCAGATTGGATTGGCATCGTAGCTTGCCCCTCTCGATCTTCTGAGGAGGGGCGGGCAGGTTCACCGTGCTTTGACCAGAGATCAGATAGGATCACATCAGCACATCCCATCTATCCATCCATCCACGATGTATGTGACGGCCAATCCCAACGTGCACATGAACATGTTCAAAACGGTGAGTGAGGTCATCACACTCCCACACAGACAGCACAGACAGACAGACACATACGGTCGGTCAACTTGCTTGTCCTCTCTCTTTGTGTGTGTGATGTTTGCTGTGTGTTTGTGTGTTGCTTCCATCCATGCACTCACTCCACATGTACAGGTCGTCAAGGCCGTGCTGGGTGTGCAGTTTCTGGGGATGGGCTTCTACCTGAGGTGGCTGTACGAGCAGCGCTCCAGGAGCGACGCAGACACCACACCTGCTACAGGTACACACGTGGCTGAGGGAGGGAGGGAGATATCAAGGGCTGGACTGGGCTGGGCCACCTGATCCGATCACTCATCCAACTGTCTGTCTGTGTGTGTGTTTGTCTGCCTGTCTGCTGTCCGTCCCCGCCAATCAGAGACGGATCGGCTGCAGGCTTTTGACTACATGGCCGACAAATATGAGGCCGCATTCCGAGGCTTCGAAGGGGTACGCTGCACTCCGATAAGCACACACACCACGACACCTCCATCCATCCATCCATCCATCCATCCATCCGTCGGTCGCCCATCAATATGTCTGCTTCGTCTCTGTGTGTGTGGTGGTAACTGACGCCACGCCGCTCCCTTTCCTCAGCTGTTCGCCGATTCCCGCGAGAGCGTGGTTCGGCGCGCGCGTGGCCACGTGTTGGACATGTGCTCGGGCAACGGGCAGAACTTCGTCGTGCTGGGCAAGGTGCCCACCATCAAGAGCCTCACATGCGTCGAGTGCCTCGACTCCATGCTCTCAACCATCAAGAACAAACTCGGTGGGGTGACTTGACTTACGGGCATTGTGGTTGTGTGTGTGTGTTGTGTGTCCCATACAGATGACCAGGAGCTGGAGCGAAAGCCGCTGCACTACCCCATCTACGTGTTCAAGGCGGACGCCGAGCGGCTCCCCTTCCCGGACCAGTCATTCGACAGCGTACTCGGCGCCCTCACACTCTCGTCCGTCGAACACGTACGTAATACACTGGGCGGGCCAGTCGGTGCGTCTGTGTGTGTATCTCTCTCTCTCTCTGTGTGTGGCTGTGTGTGCACATCTCTCTCTGTGCTATGTGCGTGTGGATCGGTGTCTGTCAGCCTGACGAGGTGTTGTTTGAGATGTCGCGAGTGTGCAAGCCCGGCGGGCGCATTCTCATATTCGACTACCACAAACCGCACTGGAAGCCCCTTCACATCGTCTAGTAAGACGCACGCACATTCATCAGGCACACGTGACCTGTGTGTGTGCGATGGATGCGCCGACACAATCTAATCAATCTGTGTCTTGTCTTGTGTGCGTGTGTGCCATCTACTGGCAATCAGCACGTGGTTCACAGAGGCCTCGACGGAAAGCGTCAAGGAGTTCGGACTCACCCAGGACAGAGACCTCATGTAAGTAACGACCACACCCCAACCAACACCCACACACAGACTGTCAGGCAGGCTTCCATCTGGCCATGTGTGTGTTGTGTGCCGCTCCCCGCCCCGTTCGTTCGTTTAGAGGTCTGATGCGGCGGATGCACTTCCCCATCCGCACCTGGCGGGGCCGACACGGGGGCGCCGTCATGGAGATCAGCGCGGCCCCCATCCCCAACGAGTACATGCCCGTCATACGCGAGCGCCTCAACTACAAAAGGGACAAGATCGAGCGGGACTCGGCCGACGAGACCGCCGCACGCACCAAGAAGCTGGCAGAGGAGCGGGAGAAGTCCATGGGCGGCATCAACATCTACTCTGGAGGTGAGGTGCGGGCGACTGACTGACTGACTGATGTGGGGCGTCCGTCCGTATGCATCATTGGTGTGTGTTGTGTGTTGTGTGTTGTGTGCAGGGATTGCCCAGGGGGCGTATGCCGACTGGGCCAGCTTCAAGCCGATGAAACTCGAAGACAACCCCATCATCCGCCAGACAGTCGACGTCGATGCGCTCCAACCTCAGACACCCACACACGCACCAGCAGCAGCAGCAGCAGCGGAGGGCCAGCGGGCCAAGCCAAGGCAAGGCCTCTTCAGCCTCCTGTCCACCCCCGCAGAGCTCCTCGTCTTCGCCAGCGCCCAGAAGGGCACCACCACTGCGATGGCCACCGACATGGACGAATCCCCGACAGAGGAGGAGATCCGCCTCAACCAGCCCACCCTGGAGCGCCCCTTTGTCAACCCCAACATCAACAGCGGCGCCGAGACGCTCACCTTCGGCCGACGGCCGCGCACCGGTCCTCTGAAGGATCTACAGCCGTCTTTGGTGTATGTGTACGTGCCGCTGCAGCTGCTGGAGATCCCTGGCGTCAAGAAGGCCGAGGCGCCCGAGCCGCGGCGCGACAGGGGGTCGTTCGAGTACTTTGTGGAGACGGACAACAAGCTGCTGAACCACCTGGGGTGGATATGGGAGCAGTTCAGCCCGCTGGCATGGGGCTTCAGGCGATTCACAAAGGCTGACGGGATTGACCCGGGCGAATGAGTGATGAACCAATCGGGGGGGAGGGCGTGTGTGTGTATGTGTGTTTGTATGTGCTGTGCTGTGTTGTTCCCATCCATCGGTTTCGGCTCCTGAGATCCGCCTGATGCGATTGCCCACGTCATGACGGACCTTGGTGAGCGGAACTGATTGACGGAAGAACACAACACAACACAACACACGCGCACGGTGTGTGACCCGTCGGCGGCATGCAGTCACTCACTGGTCTGTCTGGCCCGCCCACACACCAGACCAGACCAGACCAATCATTCCCCCATATATTCACACGGGCCTGTGTGTTTTTGTGTTGTTGCCCTCGTGCGAAAGGTTGCCTGACTGCAGTGGAGTGCAGTTGTGTGGTGTCGTTGGTGTCATCATGTCTCGTGAGAGCCCTTGAAGCAAACATTCATGGTGTCAGCCACAGCCAATCTGTGTGGTGGGTGGGTTGACTCGACAGACATCGTTGGCTTGGTTGAGTCGAATCGGTCGAATTAGGTCACTGTGAGGCAGTCAGTCAGTCAGTCATATAAGCAGACAGTCGTCCATCTGTCCATCCATCCATATATCCGAACCCATGAACCCATCCTCCCCACGCACCCCAGATAAAAGGCGGGCGCCAGCACATCACAGCTCCACACACCTCGACACATCCACACACGCATTCACACGTCATCAACCACCTGATGTATATATAGGATGGGGTGGATTCGGTCGGCCTGTCTCGTGGCGTCCGTCTTGTCTGTCCGTCACCAAAGCTGCCTACATGAACGGCACCGACTCCACTCGTGTGTGTCGCCGGCGCTGGTCGCCGTCGGCCGCCAGTGGCAACGAGCAGAGAGACGGACCACACACATGTTCGTTCACACATACACACCACACGTCCCGTCGTTGTCTTGTCGATTGGCGCAACTCTCATCGTCGGTCAGGAGAGAGCAAAAAGGAACGACCACGGCAGGCAGGCAGGCAGGCACAGCACATCTGGCTGGCTGGCTGGCTGGCTGGCTGAGAGAGGAGGGGGCTCCTGGGTGAGTGGGGGTCAGCATAGCATAGCACACGTAACATCAGCCATACAGGCAGACAGACAGACAGACAGACAGACAGGCGGACAGGCAGACAGTTCAAAAACACACACACCACACCACACACATTCAGTGACACGGCACACACAGGTACGTGCCCCCCGCCCCGCCCCCCCGCTCAGCTAGGTCATTCACAGACAGCTGCCCACCGGCAGGCACCATCCAAGGCCCTCCCGCAAACACGAAGTCATACGTGGGCCACATTCATTGTCGCGTCAAAATGCCAGGCGGCAGGGATAGAGACATGGCGGTGGCGTGTGCGTGCGGTTGTGTGCAGTGCGTGTGGCGCACGGGGGAGGGGCGGGAGGAAAGGGGTATGTGTGCTCTGTAGAGTGAGTGACTGGTTGAGTCAGTGGAGTGGGTTAGTTGCCGAGCCCCCGCTCCAGTAGTCTCGTGATAGCCGCGTTCACGTCGCCGCCCACCTCCTGCAGCGCCTGGATGTTGGCCTGACACACACACGCACAAGTACAATCTGCAGATGTCCACCTCTAGGCACCGCAGTGATCAACTTACGTCTGTGTCGATGAAACCCATCTCCTGGAGCTGCGCCAGCTGAGTGCTGAACCTGGCACACACACACACACACACGTGTGGCCGGACGGACGGAAGGAGTGTGTGCCGTGTCGTGTCCTCAATTACTCAGCCACCTCACCTCTCTTCTGGCGGTCGTGTGTCGGCCGCCGCGCCCAGCCCCGCCATGCCAGCGCCGCCCATACCTCCTAAACAGACAGATAGACACACACACGGACACACAGATGGTCCATGAACGTGTGTCTTTGCGTATGTGTGTGTGTCTTACCCATGAGTTGCTGCAGGAGTGCCATGTTGGCAGGGTCCGCCCCCATGCCACCCCCCATGCCACCCATCATGCCGGCCGCAGGGTTGGGCGCACCGCCACCCTGCCCACCCACGGCTGCCGTACCAACGCCACCTGCACCTGCACCAGGGCCGCCGCCCAGCGCCGGGTTCCCGCCCTCTGACGTGACACAACAACACGGAGGCACACCACACCAAACCAGAGAGAGATCGTGTGTGTGTGTGTGTGTGTGTTGGGTAGGGTAGAGGCAGGAGAGCTTAGCTTACGTATGTTGCGTTGCAGCGTCTGCATGGCCTGGTCCATCTGTGCGATGGCCTGCAGGTTCTGCGGGTTCATCATCTGCGCCAGCAACTGGGGGTTGTCCATCATCTGCTGCATCATGGGGTTCTGCGCCTGAAGGAGTGAGTGAGAAACACACAGACAGTTGTGTCCGACGCGTCGGGGTGTGTGTGTGTGTGTGGTCATAGGTACCGTCATTTGTGTGAACATGGGGTTGTTTTGGAGGATGGCCCTGAGCATCTCCGGGTTCTGCGACATCTGCTGCATCATCTGCTGGACCATCGGATTGTTGACCATCGCTGCACACACACGTCCAACACAGTCGACCATACCGTCCACACAGACATGGACTCAACAGCAGGCCATCTCACCGACCTTGTAGCATTTCTGGGTTGAGTCCGCCGGGGGGCATCCCGCCCATGCCGCCCATGCTGCCCATACCAGCCATAGGGTTCGCACCACCTAAACACACACACACACACCCACGTGTGGAGGTCAAGCAACCGGCCATCATTCATCTGTGTGTGCGTGCGGGTGCCATCTGTCCGTCCCCACTTACCTTGTCCACCGCCTGTGGTGCCACCTCCGCCTGCCCCCGGTGCGCCTGCTTGTGGGTTGGCCATGCCCTGCATCATCTGCTGCATCATCTGCTGCATCTGGGGGTTGTTCATCATGGCCCCAAAGTCCATGCCGCCCTCCATCCCGCCCATCCCCATCCCGGGCATCCCACCCATACCCATACCCGGCGCACCACCCATGCCTGCAGAAGAAAATGTAATGGCCACAGACCAGACCAACAGGAGTCAGGCAGGCTACTTTGATGCGGTCGGTGGCTGTGGACACACACACCTGTGGTGGGTGCCGGTGTGGTGGTGGTCGCTGGTGCAGTGCCCGCGGCTGGCGTCATTGTCGACGCACCTGCGAGCGAGCGATCAGGCAGACAGTAGTCACTGGTCGATGGTCGAAACCAGTGCAGTGTGTTTCTTTGTGTGTGGTTACCTCCTGCTGGTCCATCGGTGGGTGCGGCTGCCTGGGGAGCTGGGCCCTTGACCTGAGGGAGGCAGACAGACAGACACCACACACCGCATCGATCACAGCAGAAGATGACACACATCGACTACACTACACCAGTTGGTGTTGCATCCC